CGAGTATAATAATATACCCGAATACCCGATCATTATAGAATAGTGCCGTTTCGTGGGCAATACTGTCTACATTTTTTATTTTTTCAATTTTGACACAGTCAAGTGTCATATTTACCTCGTAATTTACGGTCACCACAATCCGACCATCAAAGCCGATTTTTTCGGTGTCATATCTTCAGTAMTGTTTTTTCTAAATAAAACTAGAGAAGAAATTACGAGTCGTGATATTGTCACAATATACCTAAACTGTTCAGCACATAACTATATAATAATAGCATTAGATAAACTTGCCTATATAATAAGTGGACGAGGAGCATGACCATCAGGATAGAGGAAGTCGCGTACATGGCGAGAAACAATATAATATGATAAACCGTCTTCGGCATTCAATAATAATAATATTGTATAGTAAACGATTTTTTTTTTATTTATCTTCAATAATTTAATAATAATATCTTGCATACATTTAGGTACATATAGGATCCGTTCGGACAACAATAGTTACATATTATTGTTATATGCGCACACAATAATATTAATTTTCTGCTTACAAACAACATTTATAATATATTATATTATTATCTATGATACAAATGAAAGACAACGGTAGCAAGATGCAGTGTGCACGAGCGCCGGAAACCGACGTGGTGCACATTTATATGCTGCGAAGTATATTATGTTATATATATAAAAAGTACGATCGGTAATAATATATAATATGTAAAAAAAAAAACAGCTCTAAAACTATACAATATCATTATGGAACTAAAATGTGTTAATATAGGTACAATAATACAAGAGTGGGATAAATATCAAAGACGGCGGGGAGAGTAATAGTACAATAATAATATTATTATAAATCATAATATTAGAATAACAATAGAGTTGGAATCCCTAAGGTAAAACGCGTTTGCGTATATACTTACAATTAATATACTGAAGACATGGCATCATAAGTATTTGGGCAGTGCTCTTGTTTTGTTTTTCAATCAATATTGTATTATTTTAAATACAAAAAGAAAATGTAATAATTAATAATGTAATAACGTATAATGAATTGACATACACACATATAATTTTGCAACGATTGTTCAACGACCTTTTGTTTTTTTTTTTTTTAATTTAAAATAAATATCTCCAAGTGTTTGAATAAAAATTAATCGTGTATTTACATATTATATATCATTATGTTATAATAATTATGATAAAATAAATATTTAAAAAATCTAATTTCTACAATAATAAAAATTTTGAATCACAAAACGCTTATATTCAATATAGTCTTCAATAATTTACATTAGACTCAGGTATTTTTACAATTTTTTTTTTTTAATTATTACGATTTAAACACTTGCGTGTCAAGTAAGTACATGTCATAATAATAATTTTTTATTTTTATTTTGTGAATCGAAGAGAGAGATGACCATTTTAACAATATTTAACATCAACATTATTTAATCTAAAGTGTAATAATATTATCTACTAATTAATACTAAAATTAAACTAATAGCTAAGAACACTATCTACTTAAAAACTACAAAAAGGAGATCAACCTAGCTAATAATAATAATAATATTAATAATTTAAAAAACCCTTATCAATACAATAATTTACAAATTACATAATATATTATATACATATATTACGATTCGTTATAAGGAACCGTATAAAACACAAGAAATGCCATAGATTTATTAGATAAATATATAATTCAATAGATAAAAAAAAAATAATGGCATGATCACAGAAACGCTTTGATGGGCGAAACGAGGATCGTCGCCGGGAGGAAATTCGCAAAGAATGGTTTAAGCTCGAAGCGTATGAAAGGCCCCGACGGCGTCCAAGTTTTATTTAACACCACAGAAATGCTTTTCGAAATAATAAAAAATGTAAAAAATAAGAAAACCAAAAAAATACATACTATACATATATAGGTAGTTATAATATCTTGATGCTTTCACAACAAACGAATTATAATATATTAAGATTAATTTATTTACAAAGCGATCATAATATCGATATTTTGTTTTATGATTCCTCGACGCACAAGTATCAGAGTATRAATTATATTGTAATATATGTTAGAACTGGATCTCGACGTTCGCCAAAACATAATATAATATACCAGCTGGTATATACTATACCACTTCATATTATGACCTATACCATAATTATTAGTAGAACGAATAGAAACAAGAGAAAAAACGTCCACAGAGAATTCAATTTTTGTTCTTTAGCTGCTTAATGATAACCAAATTTATGAAGTCCGTGGTGAACGGACAAAATTCAAAAATATAAATAATAATAATGACGCGGCGCGAGTGTGTATGGTGTATAAATAAATAGATAAAAACGCTTATTTACAGTGAGCAAAAATATAAAATTAATACAATATAGCATTTCATACTAATTCAAAACCGCCGTGGCAAGAAAGATCCCACCACCGCGGTAGTGCCGTTCTGAAGCTATAGTTTTATAAAAACGAGATCAAAACGTGAACAGGTCTGGGACTGAAACCGCAGAATTCCCATGTGAAACGACAAAATACAACAGATGAAGCATAGAATAGAGATTAATTACAAAAAAAAAAAAATTAAATTAAATAAAAATAATAGGTACATACTTAAACAATAATGTTGATGTTATACACAAAAAAAATAATTATTATTATAATCGACAAGAAGCTAGTTCACCCAAAAGTATCAGTAGCTGTAGATGAGCACACCTACAAACGCGTTCAAATCGATGACAATATTTAAAATAATAATAATAATAATAACTAAAATAAAGATAGGGTATAATATAATATAGTATAAATTATTACTACATTTGGCTACGGTTACGATCATCTCACATTTTTGTAAATTGAGATCAACGGTCGATTTGATTAGCATTCAAATTTAAATTGTTTTTAGTCACTAAAAACCGTGACTGGAACCATGTTTTGGAGTCTTTTTAAATAGGCGTGGAAAAAAATTTATTTTTTCTCTATCTCTCTCTCTCTAATTCTTAAAACAAAATTACATTATTGTTTGATGAACATTTTCCAGCCGATGATTACGAACATGGCTGTGAGTACAGACGATTCGATTTTCGACGGCTGAAGCAGCGACATGATTCGCCGTTTTACTTTTGAGCTCTTGTTCTCGACAACTACCGGTTCTTCGTCCTGCAAACACACAGAAACGCATACTGTTAAAGATTAACCGGTCGAAAAATAATATATTTAGCTATGATTGAAAAACAAAATAAACACATCATCTATATTATATACCTATCATATGTACCTATCTAATGTATGATTTTAACGTATAGGATAATGTTTTGTTCCTTCAATAGTTATGGTACTTAAATCGGCGGTAGCACACGCACACGGATATTATAGATAGTCGGTAAGAAAAGCGATTTTTTTTTCTCACACCTCCGAAAACGGTTTAAAATTTAAACTCATTGGTTATATCATAATATTATATAAGCCGTTGTTAATAAAATATTATTTTCAACTGCCGCGGGTTGAAAAACAATTCATCGTACTATCTATTTATAATATATCGACGAAAAAATTGTCATCGGCCAACTTCGCAGCGGGTAAAAAATGTATTAGAACTATGCGCGGTTGCGGTATATAACACGCTGGTATATCGCGATAAATGTTGGTAGATGATGGTATACTCACGTCGCGGTGGTTGGTCCAGCGGATCGGCTTGCCGTTTTCGTCCAGCTTGGCGACTGCGATCACTTTCAGCTTGCCCTCTTTACTGTAATAGCAAGTCGGGCACACGGCGACCTGCAGCATGACGGCTCTGCCGATCTTGTCTTCGTCGACCGCGGACAGTTGCTGCGCCTGCAATTGCTGCTGCGGCGGTGACGGCGGCGGCGGTGGAGGCGGCGGAGGCGGTGGATTCGCCGCCTGGCCGCACGACGTGACCAAGTCGGGCAGCAACGGTTGCTGTTGCTCGCGCTGTTGCTGGCGTTCGCGCAAACGTCGRCGATGGAACGCGCGCGCCGAACTTTGCTGTTGCTGTACCCAAAGACGGTCGCGCACTTCCTCCGAATACGGTGGCGGATCCGAAGAAAATAAGCTGATGTTGGTGTACGGATAGTTTGACGGATCGCCTGTGGAAGACGCAAAAAAAAAATGATAATGATAACACATTAATGTTGAAAAAATAATATCGGCACAATATTATTAATGTTTAAAAATCAAACGGTGTCGATGGAGCTCAAATATTTTATTTCATA